GTGAGTGAGTGATAGGTACCGTCGAATTGAGGAGGACAGTCGCATGATGCAATGCGGTAGTGGGGAGTGATGGATGTTGTTTGTTGAAAGTCACACGAACCATTATTGGTACATAGACAAACAATAATATCTAGGTACTTTTCCAATGTACTGTTTGTGCCATACTTGATAGACAATCTAAAATGAAGTACAATCGCTTGAATCATCAGTCTTCTGCTCTCAGTTTATGCTTCTATTTTAAGGTTGATAGAATGTTTCTGCTACTGACGAGAATTATTTTGTAGGGTATGGAAGGAAAGCTCATACTCACACAACTTCGACATAGTTTTTAGTATCATTGGGTATTGGAATAGCTATATTCGTATTAGTGACAGGAGTGTTCGACGAACTGTTGTTGGTATGTAGAATAGCATTGATACTGGTGATCTGAGTTCCACCGATTGGTACAATATCTATTGGTAATATGTAGTTGCGGTTGATGATATCAAATGGTAAGCGAATTTCGAGAGGAAATGCTACATTAATGGTAGGTTGCATTTCAGCTGAAGATAGATAAAGTTACATTCATCTGAACAAGCTTATCTTACATCTGTATTTTACCTATTACGACCCTTGATTCAACTAATTGGTCCAAAGCTAATGCTGTGGCTTGACTTGTAAATGTGTTTACTATGATAAGATAATCGTGAACGCATTCAAAATGTGTCGAGCATGTTTGATTAACAACTGTTTGAGTCAAGGCAGGACTGGCATCAGCGAGTAGACGGAATCCACCATTATAGTACCAATCTGCAAAGGCTCCTGGTTTGATAGGTCTGTCAATGTCAGGGGTACTGTCGCTGTACACTCTCCCTAAAATACATATCTCAGTCCAAAATATGAACAAAGACATTTTCATTTTCAATTAACTCACAAGAACGGCAAGCGTCAAGAATATTCAAATCATTGTTCGACGACGATATAACCACATTAGTATTAGTCTGACGATTGACCAAGTCATCGGTGGGATCACCGTTGAAATTACCCGCCAGACCTTCTACCAACGTTCGAAATTTAGTAGGTAAAGACAATGCACATTCCAGATTTTCTCCGATAATTTCGCATCGCAGAGCCAAACCTGAACAAAACAAAGCTCAGTCCAAAATCTCACACATGTACTAGAAAAACATCATACTAACCGGACCATAAAGCTAACGTCAATTGTGGTACCGTTCTGTTTATAACCGTTTCAGCTGTTTGTTTCAAACGAAACGTATATACGCCTATATTGTTCGATTGGTTACCATTTGCATTAGTAAAGTCAAACTCTAGATCCGATGCTAGTTCGTTGTTCAATGAAAATCCACTACCCATCTTAAATCCTACGTCCGAAACACAAATACTTGACACTTTTTGTTCCCGGTGAATCTTTAAAATAATCTTACCAAATTTTCCCTTCTCATTACTGATCGTGAAACTGCTGTTCCCACTTATTATCACATAGCTCCGAAACACAGATCCATATCCGTGTGTTCGCTCAATGTAGGACAGTGCCGGTGCAACCATCACCGATTGCACATGAATTCGAAACAAGTCGTCAGGATAAATCAGGTTCATGTCAAACACATTGCCGTCTGCATTGCTCTCTGCTCTCGCTCGTGCACCACTCGTCGTCTGAGCAAACACATACCAACCTTGAACGTGACATGTGTATCGACCACTGTCAATCGTGTCAACATGTGGATCACCAACACCGCTCACTAAACATAACATCATTGCCAACAAAAGATCCATCCATCCACTCTCACAAACATCATCAACTTACCGATCGACGGTGATCGATAGCCTGTACAANTCTGCATTGCTCTCTGCTCTCGCTCGTGCACCACTCGTCGTCTGAGCAAACACATACCAACCTTGAACGTGACATGTGTATCGACCACTGTCAATCGTGTCAACATGTGGATCACCAACACCGCTCACTAAACATAACATCATTGCCAACAAAAGATCCATCCATCCACTCTCACAAACATCATCAACTTACCGATCGACGGTGATCGATAGCCTGTACAACTGCTTGCGGGATGAATCTCATAGTATAAACGACATCGATCCCAGTTCGGTGCACCGGTTTGACGTGTTGGCGCACAACACTGATCGCTAAACAAGTACAAGCGCAACAACAATCGATATTAGTTCACCTCAACAGATACATACTAGAACTTGATTCGTCTCTGCCACGGATTTCGATGAAACAGATTCTGACCAGTGGACAGAACTGAGCCAGCCAAATATCCTGAAGTGATCAGATCGCGAGTCACTCGATTGTAACAACAGGTCTATAACAACCAATGCACCGTGATATTCAACGAAGTAACGAAAGAGGAGAGAGTTTACCTGCGGTCGAAGTAGTTTCGTTGTCCATCGTAGTCGAATCCAGTTGCTCGTCATGGGTGCATAACAAACAACGTGTTGTGATGTTTCATACGCTGTTTCACTTTCCAATCGACCGAAACGACTATCGATCTGTGCTTGTCGAAGTGTGCACGGACATGGAAATCGAGGATTGTTTCTACAGAATAGAATGATGATGATGATGATGAGAATGAGTGAGTGATGGATACACGTTCATACATGAGATCATTGAGATTCTCTGCAGGATGTAAGATATTATATCGAGTTTGTCGGAGAAAAGTGACTTCGCAATCAGTGAGAAACCGTCCACCAGTATAGAAGTTGCGTCTTCGCTTCGATTTCTCTGGATGAGCTAGGAATAGATATTCACCAACTCCATACATATATGTCATTGGAAATAGAAATGAAAACATACAAAGAAATGGTGCATTTCGTTGATATGATGGATCATTGAACACTTTCATCATTCCTTCTTTTCCACGATATCCTAAATATAGAAACACATTATTGCACTCGTTCTTCTTTTACTCTTCACATATCACTCACCAACAAATGGTCGAATCGATCCCAAACTATCACTCAAATCGCTATAATCATATGCAATGTATGATCGAAGAACTGGCTCGTTGTACGCTGATTCATATTCATATGTGTTGATCAGATAGGCAGAAAACGAGATGTTCTATAGACAGATTATAGATGACACTCTCAATGCTTTCAATATGATGCTCATACCATAGATTGATGTAGGTCTGGTATTTCGTACACTAGATTTTGCCAGTGAACTCGAACTACTCGAGCAGCTGCAAACTGAGATGAACACTGACGAGTTGGACATGCCGCTTTGATGGCTGACTGAATGATGTCGTAGTATATCTGTGTATCACTCTCAGATGCATTTGTCGAGCTGAACCAGTTGATCGTGATCGAAGATGTGAGCTAAACGTTGAGCAAGAGAGAATCATAAAACAGACCGAGGCAGAAGGGAGTAGTATTACATTGTCGTAGAGCAGATCGGTCCAGAATGGTGCTGCAAGTGCTTGTTGAGAGATGCGAGAGAAGGAGGGTGTTGTCATTGTTCGACTATAGAATGGCTTGCCAAAAGAGATGTATCCTTTGTTAGATATCTACGAGACGGAGGAATAATGGTGAGAATGAGATGAAAAGGGCATACCCATATTCGTTGATATGTTTGTTCGAAGAAGTACATAGGATCTGGGAGAAGATAGGGAGTGATTCTGACTTGTGGATCACGAATGGAAGGTTGTGGAATGATGGGAAGTGCTAGAGAAGAGATGAAGATGAAGATGAGGGTGTGAAGGTGTTTTCGANTATCCTTTGTTAGATATCTACGAGACGGAGGAATAATGGTGAGAATGAGATGAAAAGGGCATACCCATATTCGTTGATATGTTTGTTCGAAGAAGTACATAGGATCTGGGAGAAGATAGGGAGTGATTCTGACTTGTGGATCACGAATGGAAGGTTGTGGAATGATGGGAAGTGCTAGAGAAGAGATGAAGATGAAGATGAGGGTGTGAAGGTGTTTTCGATAACTTACTTGGACATGGTGGAGAAGTAGTGCACGCGATATTTCGTGTAGCATTACCACCACCACACAGCTGACTGTGACAGCTAAGTCCAGTAGAGAAGTCGATGCATGATCTGATTTCACGTCGTTGAGCACTTCCACAGCTGGGTGTACAGTTGGTGAGTGGAACCCAATTAGTCCAAGTACACTCTAGAAGATATGCAAGTGACTAAAGACTTGAGTAAAATTAGATAACGAGTATTACGTTGAGAGATGGTTGTAGTAGTTGTAGTTGGAATTGGAGTTGTGAATGCGGCAGTCGTTTGAGAAGTAGTGGTGGTAGTGACATTCTGAACTGTTGTGTTACTTGAAACAGTTACATTGGCAGAAACAGTAGTTAATGGTGAGAAACTTGTGATTGTAGAAAAGATTGTTGTATTCTCTTTGGGAGTGGAAATCGAAGGGGGTAAAGCTGTTGTTGGAGAAATGATAGGTGTAAGATTTTCTGTGGCATGTATTGTGTAACTTGTGCTAAAGTTGACATGATAGGCCGTTGTGTCTGATGAAACACTTGTTTCTGTTACACTTGTAGGACTCGTGCCATTAATCGTAGTATCTTCACTTGATGAAGTTGCTGTTGTGTTTATGGAATTTGAATCTGAAGTAACTTTCAGAGCTTGTGTCGTTCCGATTGTCCCCATCGTTGTCTCGGAAAGATTGTTTTCTGTTGCAGATGTCACAGATTCAGTGAAAATATGTGGGCTGCTAGATATATCCGTAATTTCATGTGTGAAACTGGCATCGGTAACTGTTGTGGTCGACATCACTGACGTGACAATATTCGTATCGCGAGATATCATTGTCATAGGAAGAGTAGCAGCTGACAAGGATACAGTGGAGAAATAGGTTGGTACTACTGTGAAAACCGTTTCATTTGTTACATCCATTGGTGGCTGAGTTTCACTAGTGTAATGTGCTGTCAAGTCACTCTGAGATGTAGTCGTGGGAACTACGGTGACATCCGTATTTGCATCAGTTGTTCCAGTAGCATCATCGGGAAATAGTGATATTGAAGCCGGCATAGGAGTTGTTAGTTCAGCTATTTCACTCTGATTAGTTGTTAAGTGCGTTGGTGTTTCTTCTATTAGAAGAGTAGTAGCACCAGTACCAGTTGTTTCGATAGTGCTCAGAGTTGAATCAGTATTAACAATAATCTTGTCTGTCGTAGTAGTAGACGTGTTATCTGGCAGTAATGATGCTGAACTGGTTATATATGTATCAGAACCAGTTGCTAGTGTCGCATTTGCCATTGGTAAGTCTGTAGTAAGAGAACCGGTCACATCCATAATAACTGTATTCTCGGTCATTGTTTCTACGAGTGTAGGCAAAGCCGATGTAGTATCATCAACGATAGTTCCTGATACACTACGTGTTGCACTAGTTGATTCTTCAATTATAAATAATGTTGATGTCTCCGGTGCTACTGTTGTCCATTGGCCTTCATACGTATAGTTTTCTAAAGTAAATATAAAAGTGTCATCAATGGAAATATTTGTCAATGTCATGGATTAATTGAGCATACCTGGGATTCGTGTTGCTGTATCGACAATGATTTGAATTAATGTTAATGTATAACTTTCATTATACGCAGCATTGCGGTTGAAAAGACGTTTCGCTAATTCCGCACGCTCCGTAGAGTTGAGTGTTGCATTTAGGGTGATGAAGAACTGTAGGTCCGGTAAAGCAACATTTCTAAAAATAACATGGAGAAAGTTTTATTTTTTTATATGTAGGTTGTTGCATTCAAGACTTACTCAGTATCGAAGGTTTCTATGCATGGATCATCGCATAATATACTCATATTACCCAATATATCTACAATCTAAATAAACATAAGTTGTGAAACTACAATTTAAAAAAGCATTTGAAGTCATCGTACTTGATTTTCCAGTGCTGTTGATGCCGAATCATTGATGAAAGTACTGCGAGCCATGGTTTTGAACTTCATATGCAATAGAATCCATGTTTGTCCTATATTTTTTCAATTACAAAGCGGTGCTCATTTAAAATAAAATATATTTCCTACCAGTTGCATTAACACATTCAATTCCATTGTAATAAACAAAAGGATGATCAAAACAATGACATGTTTCTTTGGTTGGATCAGACGAAACAGCAAGATACAATTTAGATGCTACACATGAGCATCGACCTGTTGTAGCAGTACACAAAGCAGGACTTTTACATCCATTTTCACAAAGTGTTGAATACACCGTCGACAAACATGATTCACTTGAATTTCGAGCATTTCCATGTTCCAAAGCAGAATTACCTAGGCAAATTGTTTTCAAATTTGATATATGTACACTACCAACTGAAACACAGACCTCCTAATGAATGGCCATCAACACACCAGCAATCAAAGGAGCCTGCTGTGTTCACACATTCTGTATTATTATAATTTCCACAACTTGCTATTGATGCCATGCATTCGTCAATGTCGACACAAGTTCCATTTCTTATCTAGCATGACAGTTATCAATTTAGCCCACAATGTCTATTGAAAACTCCCAAGCTTGCTTTTCTTACTTCATATCCTTCTTTGCAATCACATCGATAACCTCCGACTTCATTCACACATATAGAACTTCTCCTTTCACACAAAGATGCATTTTGTGCACACTCATCAACATCTACAAATATACACATCATACATCTATTCATAGAC